GGTCATTTTTTGAGTTTTTTTGGCTGGACTAATATCTCGTCAAGCTATACTTGCGTCACCCCTCAGCCTGAGTCAAATCCACTGCACAGCGATTATTTTCCGCCATTATTCTGGACAAACTTCCGTCATGTGATAGCGAGTTCAGACAAGAAGCAAATAGAAGAAAATAGTGTCCCGCCCTTTGCGAATATACCAACGTATGTCGCGATTCAAACTGAGCTGAATTGGTGACAGACTGACAGATCGTTATTATTTCCGAGAATATGTGACCTATTTCGAAAAGGTAATATCCGATGGACCTGTTCAAAACTCATGAGAGAGAGAGAGAGAATGATCTTTATTGTCTAAAATGTATTACATTTCGTCGATAATAGTAGATTGTTTTATTAGGATCAAAAGTGACACTTTGTTTGACAAGCGAATTTTGCATTTGCGAGGCGGAGCGTTTAGCGAAGCCGAGCGAAAGCAAAATTTGCGAGTCGAGCAAAGTCACTTTTGATCCGAATGAAACATGCTATTTTTTCTGCAACCGAAACAATTTTAACTCAAATAAACATGTGAAGTAACAACCAATGCCGTGCCATATGTATGCAATGCAACAAATATCGACTAATAATCCATGTGGTGAGAATATTCTACCTGCATCAACAGCAGCTTAGATTTTCTAGGATGTTCGAATTGTAGTTTCAATATAACTACAATCACAAAGTGACATATTTGTGTATGGACCAGGTGCTCGAATGGCAAATACCGCGCCAGTGCCAGCTATAGGAACAAGAAGTTAGGTTAGTGAGCATATCAACAATGATAATAGTGATTATTTATTCCTCTCCATACTACACTGTGTTTGACTTGATAATCAAATGAAGCTAAACAATATCGTTGTTTGAGACAAAAAAAGTATTGTTTGCCGTGATAATTCAAAAACAAGTTATTCATCCCGAGAATAACGAATGAAATACAGATCAAGCAAGTATTCTTGTATAATCAAGCAAGTATAATCTTGAAGGTTTCCCTGATCAATACAAAAATACATAACTGAAATGTTTATAATTCCAATACTACACTATAATGAGGTGTATTTATATCAACCCAAATAACCAACCGTCACAATGTTGTTTATTCTTGATGACGTCCAGTAGATCCTTTTTAGTTCCTAGGAGCTGAAGTTCAACTTCAGCTCCTAGGAACTAAAATTCAACTTTAGCTCCTAGGAACTAAATATGAGTAAATATAATTTTGGTATCAAAATGGACGACTTTTGTGTCGGTTGCAGGTAAAGGTATATCATTTATATAAAAAACGAACAATTGTAAAAGAAAAAATACTAAAAAATATTTACATGGAGGGAATAATACGGTACGGTACAAACGTGTTTTCACAACTACAATTTATCAAAATCTTGATATAGATCGTAACATTTATATAGAAAAACTAGAAATTATATGCAAAATACTCTTCCAAACTATAGAAACACTTTCCCATCACAAGGTTTTTTACCGATTTCCCAAATTGCTTCTGATTGATCATTGATTGCTGTTATTTGTTTCGGTAAATGATTATATATCTGTCTACTTCTATAGATTTGATGATGCTTGGTCAAAGTTGATGTGGGAAGTGGAAGGACAAGTATCATCTCCTTTCATGTCTGCCTTTCTGCTCGATTCAAGAACTTTTCCTTATGTTTGTGAAGCAAGCAAACAGTCCCCATAAGAAAAATTTCCAATATTGTTAGTATTTTATATTTGCAGAAAATTGGCCTACACGAGTCGCTGATCCTCTTTTTGAATATTATTCTCATAGCTCATTTTTGAATGACGAATATACTTTGCAATAAAACCTGGCAGGTAGAGCCACAAAACGAAGTTCCATACCCAAGATGACTCTCCATAAGTGAATAGTATGCGGTCATTGAAGCTGAAAATCCGAGTTCACGAGATATGACATTCACGGCGAAGCAACCAGAAGGCAATTCCTTTTTCAGTGCATTAATTTGTATGTGAAACTCCAAATTACTATCAATAAATATACCGAGGAATTTCGTTACAAGCTTACACTCAACCGTCTGACAACCTAAAGTTACCTGATCCAAATCCCACTTTAATGTGACCAGATTTGTTTCAGAAAGATTCAGCGACAACATATTCGATTCACACCAACTTCTAATTTTTTTCTAAATCGAGTCAAAGTAGCCGGATCTTCATTACGCCAAAATACCGTGTTGTCATACGCGAATGAGGTGAATGTTCCAGATATATCCAATTTAGCCAGATCGTTAACATACAGCAAGAATAAAATTGGGCCCAAGACTGACCCTTGACCGATTACTATTTTTCCACTTTCGGAAGTATTATTGTTCAAAGATATTTTTTGTCTTTTACCAGTAAGATAAGATCTGAACCATTCTAATGTTGTTCCCCGAAATCGATAATGAGAAAGTTTCTGCAGGAGGATCTCATGACACACACAATCAAACGCCTAAGGAAGGTCCAGAAATACTGCCGCAGCCACTTCCTTATCATTTAGAGTTGTGTAGATGTTTTCAAAAAAATTAAAAATGGCATCAGTCGTATTCTCATCATATTGGAAACCATGTGGTGTAAGTATTCAAATCCACACTGGTCTAGCCGAAACTTGCGTGCGGTGTTAGGCAGAACAGGATCTACAGCTTATAGTAAACTTCGTACCAGTGCTGCCGTGCTAAGCGCAGATGCGGTAACTGACACCGATGGCATTCTGAGATAATTGATATTTCAGAGTATTCGCCCTCCCAAACTTATTTTTCAAAATATGAGTCTGAATTTTGGTAACTGTCAAATATTGACATTATGTTATCATTGTGATTTGTTAAATGTCAAAAATCCCACAAGGAACCATTCTGGAATGTAGATACGGCTCTATTTCAGCTTTATTGCTAAGGTATTTCGACGTATCTACAATTTTTCTCAAATGAATCTCCCAGGGAATAGGGAGGTATTCCTTCATCAATAAATGATATGGGAACCAAATAATGAAGGAATAAAACTCAATTATTTAGAATCATTAGAAGTCAACAAACTTGAAAATTCTGACATTCTACTTAACGATCAACTAGACCCTAATAGTTCACCATTGTAGAATTTGTTTTCTTAGTTGGTATAATAACTAGAGTCACTGGATGTTATTAGTTTGATAAGAGTTCGGACACAGAAATGACAACGGTTAGGGTTTTTCAATGTTTAGATTCATTAAGTTACACACCTTGCATTGTGACAAGAGCACCATAGTCGTCCCGCGCTTTTTCATTCAAAATTATTTGAATTTGACAATACACATAAACGTCAGAATTGAAATAAAATTTCATAATTATACATTCGAGATGGAAGCAGCTATGGAAATTACTTGCTGTGTAATAAATTGTGCCAATTCTGAAGAAAAAGGATATCATTTATTCAATTTTCCGAAACAAATATCAACCATTCGCTTATGAAAGGAAGATATGAAATGGCCTGATGGGTGCAAAATCAATTTGAAGAAGAGCGAAATTTGTGAGGTACTCATTGAAATTCACTTCTTATAACAGCATCTGATTAGAATGAAACTATATTTCATGCCCATTTTCAAACAGAAGATTTCAAAATCTGTTTGTGAGAATCTGCTGTTCCATCAATTTACAAAGCAGGCGATTTCGAGAACAAAATTCTATTATTATCATCACACAAAATACAAAACGAAATAATCATGGAAAAGAGGAAATGATCGCAAAATTTCATAATGAAATTGAGAATTTGAAAACGAAACTAAGAAAAGCGAGTAAACTACAAAGTGATATAATGGCGTTTTTGGTGCCGACCAAATTTAAAATTCAACAGTGGAAAGTGAATAGTTATTTATGTATCAAGGGAATCATTATGAGGGCCTTAATTACGCTGGAGGTTAGTGTTTTGGAGATATTTTCTATATCGATCCGTGTTACTGAGCTCCTAAGGCGCTAAGTGGAGTTGCTGAGAACTTTACAAAACCAAGTATATTTGGTAGGTCTCGTCAAAATAAACTACTTTTTTCCTATCAAATGTTTATCGAAAAATGATTTGTTCTCTGTATTTCAGCACTTTGTATCTCTGAAATGGAGCATTTCCGGACACAAAAGCTTATATAGACTTTATTTCTTATAATTTTCTCAGGAATACTTGAAAGTACCTATGTTACTTCCTGTATATTGAGAATATCTACCTTTAGTTTAGTATAAATAACTTCATGTTTTATACTCATCACTGGAGTACAGTTTCACATACAATAAGGAATTAAAGCCATAAGTTTATCTATATATGTATATTTTCTAATATTAAAATGTTGTTACATGCATTTTTTTCATTTATATAACAGTTGTTCTGCTAGAAGTGCATCACTATAAATTGAAGTGGGTGGTTTGTACCCTATACCCATTGTACATCTACGGCTATGATTGATTTGACACAAAATTTAACCTCCAAAATAGGATCTGACAATCAGGCACTACTAGGAAATTGAAAAGACAAAGAGCAGAATATATATGTCTTATTCTTCTATTCACTTAAACCATTGTATTATAGAAAATAGAAAAGGACAAAAGTTCAGCTGTGTCCGAACTCTTATCAAACTAATACCATCCAGTGACTCTAGTAATAACATGTATTTGCTATCAACCTTCTCAAGTTAATCCGTTACACCGAATTTTAATGTAGATATTGTGCCTTTTTTTCGAAAATGAAGGTTTATCGAACCTTTACACTGGTAATTCCAATCCTTCAGGTTGATTAATTTCATTGTACCAGTATTTCACTTGATGAAGCAACTGTGTAAGCGGAACCTCGTGTGAATCTCATCGTTGTTAAGTTTTTTTATCAGTAATAGTAGTCTCTGAAACTACTACTGAAATTGGATTCTGAACCGTAGTTGGTTCATATATAATTATAGGGAAGTCATCAATATCAACTCCAATATCTCTTATTGTACTTTTAATTTTGTTGTCTTGATTGGAATAATAGTGCTTCGTGGATTCTTCACTTCATACACAAGTTTTGCACGTTCTGAAATTATGTTGGTTCGATCGGAAGCCATTATTCTATGAAATAATATAGTTCAACCACAAAGAAAATGAGTATCAGTCTATGATAACCTTTCTTCACTTGTTACGTGATAATGACTCATTTAATCATTATAACTACTAACACAGTTATTGATGAAATGCGACAAACACTTCAGCGATGTTCATCCTTCAACCACCTTGATGTTACTCAGCCGTTTGCGCGAAAAATGCATTAAAACTTAAGTATATAGGGCGTATTCGACAAACGCTAATATATTTGAGCAGTTTGTGCAGTAATTACCCCTGCAATGCCCAAGCAAATGATAATTACCGCCTAACACCGCAGGAAAATTTCAACAATATTTTGAAAGTTGGTAGATACCGCTATTTAAAATTTGAAATAGAAATAGAAAAAAGGTATTTACTGCTATGAAACTCTAGTTTTAGACAGATTTCGAGTCATAAATTTATGTGGAGCTAATATCTCAATTTCCTTGGAAATGTCAGTTACCGCTTCTGCGCTCAGCATGGCAGTGTGCTAGGGCACCAAATAAAAGAATTCAATCAAGATTCCATTTTTATATTGAGAATTTTCTTCATCTTGGAATATATTCCTATATCGAGAACATTTTATAGGAATTGAGATTTCTATTTCTCTTACTAGAATATATCCTCCTCATAAGATATTTGCTATTCCTAATTATGTATTCTCAGCATGAATATAAATATCCCCTAACCAACATCAGATGATTTCTTGCGCGACTGTATACAAGTAGCTAAGTAACCGCTGTGAGCAAATTTTTGACAGATTATCATCTATTTTTCAAGTTTCGAATATTTTTGACTTCTTCTTTCTCTCACTTTTTCCCTCAGTAGATGTATTATGTGTTTGAAAATATAATAAAATATCAAAAACAGTACTATATCAATTATCACCAGAACTATAATAACATCTATCAAATGCCTCTTGTAGGATGGAAGCTTGACTCCTGGAGATTGAAGATACTTAGCACCATCGTGATTCAAAATGAATTCAATCCAGTAAATAGCATTCGCGAGAGGTTCAACAGGGCGATCTCTCAAATCCCTGGATCTTTGTTGAATATTCAAGGAATACCTGGAAAAAAAGTGTTATGACATACGTATAAGATATATACACTACACAGTCATCATCAAATAACATGAAGCCATTAGACGATGTCTGCGGTTTTATTACATAAGTTGATGAGAGCACAGAAAAGAATAGTCGGTAGTAATGAATATCAAACGTTTAGTAAAATACATTCATCTAATGGTACCACTTCAAAATTGTATAATAATATACTAAAGTGCTCAAAGAAACAATTGGACCACTGAAATTTTCGACAATTCTCAAACTGCCATATCTTTTTAGAAAATGAATGGATTTTCAATCGGAATGCAGTGCTTGGAAGATGCGATCTTCCTCATCAAGATTCTTTGTTCATAACTCATCGGGAGAATTTCTGTCATTACAGTATTACAAAAATGAAAAAATTCAAACGCTTCCGTATTCCAGGGTTTTTTTTTATTTTTCTATTAATCGTTTTTTCCGAACTTTCGAACCAATATCTCGAAACGATTTTGTAATTCTTCATATTACTCAAACAGGATGTTGAAAATTGATGACTATTCATTCTTAGGTTTTTATCGCATCATTCATGATTATAAAATTATATAAGCCACATGCAACGTATTTTGCCACTCTATACGATGGAACACATCTTAGAAAATGAATTCATATTGCGTTGAAATCATCTACAACTTCATCATCGGTTCGACAGGAGGCATTAAATTGGGTGTTGCAGTGGTATTAATCGCGTAAATGAGTGTTGATTACAAGAAATCGACTTTCTTGATTGATTTTCGATTACGCGATGAAGAACCTTGTGATGAAGAGGTTTCTTGACTTCATGTCAGCTCAGGAATATCGTGAAACCATTGTAGCATTGTTATTGTATGAATTGGTCAGAAAAATCCAGAAGGGCCTCCTTGATTTTCAATATGATACCTGATACCGCAGCTAAACTTTCCTCTTTGAATTCATTCAAACAATGGGCAAAAGAATACATTGGAATTATTTATTATATTTATAATTTTCTATTTACAATGTTAAATCTTTATATCGCATTTATAATGTTATCATTATATTTTGGAATGAACATATACATACATACACATACATACATACATCCATAGAACTGAAATCCATGAATTAATAGAGAAATGATTAACAAACCTACAACCAAGTTATGACGGTTTGGAAATTGTAGAAAATTTCAGTGGTCCACTTGTTTCTTTGAGCACTTTATATCGAATATTACCACTAAAAAGAAGTATGACACTAACTTTCAGTATACGATGATATCATTTCGTTGTTTATTTATTCATTTACAAGAAAAGGAATACAAACAGAAATAAACTTTCCAATACAGTATTCACAAATTGAATTATGGTATATCAATTGAGTTAGATAAATTACAATATTTGATGAAATTACTTCCATATTAATCCGAAATTGAACGAGAGAGTCAGTAGTAAAAATAGTTCAAAGAGTAGATAGAGTTTGGTAAATAATGGTAGACATACATTAAAATGTGAGTATATAGTTAGACACGTGATTTTGATAGTGATTCCATTGAATTGAAAATATTGAAAAGAAAAGACAAGAAAAAAAAATATAATAATAGAAAAAAAAAAAAGAGGGCGAAGTTCGACATTACAACTAATGACATAATTTTCGTCTTTCAGCGACGATGAATAAAATAGGTTTTAAGTTTGTTTTTAAGAGCAGCGACTGAGCGAATGTTGAAAATATCGAAATCGAAATCGGAACAGTGCTTATTATATGTCTCTAACATACGATTTACTGGGAGATTTTTTGCTACATTTGTACGGGAGAAAGATAGTTCGAAAACGTTGTTCTGCCTGAGTTGTCTACTAGGAATGTGAAAATTGACGTAGGAAAGAATATCCGAGCTATCAACTAAATTGTTTAATAATTTATATAGAAATACTATTTCTGTAACTTTCCTACGGTCATGTAACGACAACATTTTAAAATGATTTCTAATAGATGCATATGCATTCACTGGACAGGAAAAAGAAGCGGCAAATTTGAGTCTCATAAATCTCAGGAACCTATTTTGTATGTTTTCTAGGCGATTGATGTAGCATACGTAGCAAGGATTCCAGATAACTGACGCAAATTGAAGTTTGCTGTAAACGTAAGCGTAATATACAGTTAGTATTGGTTCGGATTTTCTGAAAGGTTGTGATATTATTTGAGGAATGTATAGTGACTGGCGCCTACTTTACTAAATAACGTTTGGTATTCACTACCGACTATTTCTCAGAGGGATCCTATGTTAACACAAACGTCTAGGATATGTCGCATTCATGGCTGAGAAAGATATATGGATGTACTCTCCTCAGGAAATGTGGAGGAAGGAAGATGCGAGGATCCTTCATCCAAGCGAAAAACATTTTATTGCCTTGTCTGGCAAAACATGTGATTTGCTTCAAAATCGTTTGTGGTTATGGTTATGTTTGATTGTCACTGCTTGTCTAGTATCCGTACTCTAATAATGTACAAAAAACGTCAAAACAGGAGTGTCAAGTAAATTTAGGAAGCCCAGTCAGCTCATCCATTCGTCGTCAACTTTGAGATATGGCGAATTAATCTTCACCAGAACTGGACCACCACACTACAGGCTACATAATTATGCTGAACAAATTGAAAAAAAAATTATTCTCAATAATCAAATAGAACACCTGAAAAAACTACTTCAGTAGGTAGATGAGGATTATGAAGTTAACAGAAATTTGAAGAAAACTTCGAAATAAAAAATGTAAGAAAGACCAACACGAATTCAACATGATCAATTTTCTTTTCAAAATACGTTCTAAGTCTTCAGTATTCATGTGTTATGTTGAGTTTTGTGAAGGAAGGAAGGAAGGAAGGAAGTAAGTACATTTTTTTCGGACATAAATATTTCTGAGATTGAGCATCCATATTTCCACCCACCATCAACAAACGATTTTTGGTAACCAAAACTCCAATATTCAGTCATCATCAATATGAAAAATTGCGTATTGTTGTCATTGAATGGTTTTCGCAAGTTTTCTCTATACTATATGAATGTTCCTTGATCCCATTTGATAATAACTGATTCAATACATGTTCTGTTGATATTTTCGATTATTCCATCTTCATGATTATCATTATCGAGTAGGTACTTACTTTGGCTTCAAAATTTCGTGTATAGCTGCAGCAACATTCTCGCTGGATATGTCAGTGAATGGTACAGAAACAGCATACTCATCTCGGACAGCCCTCGCAATGTTTGACTTTTGATCTCCATACACCGGTATCCCAACGATTGGGACACCAAAATGAACTGCTTCGATAGTGCTGAAAAGTCCTCCATGAGTTATGAAGGCTTTGGTGTTAGGATGGGCTGCAAGAAGTATCTGAATATCACATTAAGCAATCTATTTATCAAAGTTACTCTAACTGGAGGAGTATATTCTTTACTGTTTGATCAGATGTATCTCAATAATTGACAAGACGATATTCACCATACAGGGTAGAAATGAATTCACACACGATAAGAAGCAGCTGAAAATAAAATCTTCTGAAGTTGAGAATTTGCAATCTCCTCCAGATGAAAACTAGGAGATCTATATTTATATGTGCAGAGAGTTGTTCTGAAGTCAGTGGTCCTTCATAAAGGACCGTAGGACTTTGACATCGCTGTGTAGTGTGTTCATGTATGTATCCATTTTTTTCATGTTCATAATAATAATCAATAATCAAATCTGATTTGGAACAATAACGATTTTTACCACTGCTCTAAGGAATCACTTTATCATTGATTTGAGGCCTTACACGAACAATTATTTTTATATAGTTTCATGACAAGCTTCAAGCAAGGGCGCATCCAGAGGGAGGGTTTCATGGGGGTCATGACTCCCTTCTGGACCACCCAGGTAAACCGGTGAATTATCTGTGAAAAATTACAGATTTATCTCAATCTATCAATATAAGGTCCCAAAAATGAAGTGTCGAATCAAAGAGTTAATTCAAATATCTGAAATATTATGAATATGGAGGCCTATATTTGTTCGATTTATGGGTCACCATTTCAAAAACGACTATTCGGCAATTTTTTTCGAAATTCTATGCAGGCATACCTGAAATGCCCGATACAAAATTTCAACGTATTACAGGAAGATCTGTTTAGGTCAACCTAAACATTGAAGTTAAACAATCCTTCACTATGATCTATATCTTTTTTTTTTTCGAAAATAGTGTAAGTGAAACATTGCAAAATGAGTTGAGCTCGCTCAGTAGGAAATGTTCGTAATGGATCCGTTCTCATTCTGAAACACAATTTTCCGAGCATTTTTCACGATTATGTTGAAACTACTGACAATCTCGTGATTATACTTCGTATGAATATGTTTTGAAAGATGACACATCTCATAGATTTGTCTTCACATCAGACTTTCAAAGAGGCCACCAGTTACACGATTTGTTTGTATAGTTTTAAACCTAACTTTTTCGAGGATATATATTTTCTAGTCCAAATTTTATGTGAAATCGAACATCATGAAATTTTACAACAGAACAGTATACTCTTAGTGAAACTTGATATTTTCTACGGTTTTCGGAATTTTTTTGATTAGTAAATGATGAAGTAATAACTATATATACTCTTGCTGGTATAAAGCTTTGTATTTGATCAAGTATTCTAATAAACTTCTATACTCATTTATGAAAAACCAAAAACAATAGCATCATTCCAATGCTGAATTTATTAATTGAACAAAGAATCACGACAGAAACAAAATAAAAAAAATCTACTGAAAACATAGATTACGCACAGTTCGGACTTTACTTGAGTCAATGCTACGTCAAGACAGAATCTAACATTACTTGAATGACCTCATGAAAAGCTGAACCTCAACCATTTAGAAGAATACCACCTTCTCAAGAAAACCATTACAATAATTTCGCAAATAGTTCGAGTCTAATAAAAAAGTGTATGGTGTTCTTTTCAATATCTTGTACCTTGAATACAGTTGCCATTACGAAAATCGTCTCCTGAGCAAACCGAACTCAGTGCGCATTGTTTCATTGTTTCACGTATCCTACCAATGGAGTGAATTATTCTAAAATGACCTCTCAAAATATTGTGATTTTGAAGCCCGTGAATTCCCCCTCCCCTCACGCGAGGAATGGATTTGTCTTCAAGATAATGTGTTACAGCTCTCTTAAAAGTTGGCCATTTATCTTTTAAGGAGGTTGCTTCATCGTTTCGATGATGTTATTATAGAATAAAAGATCTGAAGAGGAATTCAAATATGAGCTGTTACCAGTGCCGGATTTATACTCCCTAACGCCGGGAGCTAACTTTTAAGATGCAGCCGCGCCGCCACCAAATATGTAATTTTCAATTGTCAGTTTCAAAATTCAAATAATCCTTTTACTGCTTCCTTTACAGCATATAACAGTAACATGAAATCATTATGTACAACTGATCACATTATATTTTCTTCACACATTGAACATAGAAACAAACAACAAATATTTTTTTCAGATGAATACTAACATACTTTTCTTAATTTTTTTGATGCAAAGTCGTCAATGGCATCATCAAAATTCAAATTTGATAACATGTCACTGTTAATACTTGAAATTGATAAGATATACAATATATTCTCTACCATGAAATTCCTAAGGTAGTTTTTCACTCTTTTTAAAGTTGAGAATGACCTTTCACCACTGGCATTACTAATCATCAGGAATAGTGGAAAAAATCTCAGTAATTGCCAATATTCAATGAATGTCATCTATTTTTGAGATTCTTACTCTTCTTTTTCGCGTATTGAATGTTAGAAAATTTACCATTTCCGTCTTGAGATCGTGAAGTTCCCGGAGACGGTTCTGTCGGTTCTGATTCTGTCTCATTTGGATTTGGAAAACTGTATGTATTTTAGGCATTTCTCAACAATTTCGTCTAACTGCTTTTGTTCATCGATCTTCTGCCGTTTCCAGAATGCATCACCTTCTTTTTTACACATTTTTTTTTATATTTCAGTTTCAATATTTATATTTATTATCAGTATTCCCAACATAACCAACGACAACCTATATTAAATACTGAACTCTGATTTTGTTTTTTGTCATTGAGTTAAGTTATTGAGAAGAATCACGAAATTACCCCTACTCTACTGGATAGAATGCGATTTTTCTTCACATCATCATATAAAAGTATGTAATACCGCCGCCGCTATTGTATTGTTGCATCCAAGACAAAGCTGACGCTAGATTAGTGCATGTTATGATTTTCACAAAAACAGTATCTCAACCAGTCAATGACTGTATTGCTGGTTGCTTTCCCTCTTTTCTCTTGTTCTCTACCGCCTCTTGAAATTCACCGCCGGTGGCTGATAGTCCCATAGACCCCCCCCTAAATCCGGCACTGGCTGTAACAATCTTTCACAGCTAATGATAATACTAAAAATGTTATTTGGGAGAAGTATCTATACAATGTACACCTCGACAGTCACACGCAAACAGAATGAACTATTTACCCAGCACTTCAGCTTGAGGAATCCAGTTGACAACTTTCACGTTTCCTGGCAAGTCCGGCAACTCCTCCTCCAATTTCCAAAGCACTCTTTGTCTGATCTGTCGGAACGCGCTGATCAAAGACTCAATCTTCTCGCTTCCCAGATCAGCGCTTTTCAAATTGGAACCCATAGAAAACAATATCACCCCGTCTTTCGCACTGTCCATGAAATCTTCTAGATCATCAGGCAATTTGCATAGAGGGCCTAGGTGGGCTCCTCCAATCTCGATCATATTTGGCATGAGAGGTACAGGCTCTGTCACACTGGGATGCGAATTGAGAAGGATCAGGTTCACCGACGTTATCACTTCATAGAAGTCCAAGTTTTTCCCAAGGCACTCCTCCATCAATTGATTGTGCTTTGGCAACATACGGAGCGTTCTGTAGTAATTATTGTAGGCATTGTAAAGTAAATTGTTGAATCGTTGCCAGTAGGACATGTCTCCCGAGTAGGAAGTCAGAATATTTGGAACATAGGAAGTTGGTAGAGGATTAGCAAACAAATGGTTGTTCAAGGTAGAAGGTGGCAAGGAAGAAACTAAAACGATCGGGGTTTTGAGAATGTTTGCTATGCCTAGTGCAGCCTCGTTCATGAAGTATTCAATCACCACCAAGTCAAAATTTTTGTTCGATTTCAAGAGGTGTTGGATCGTGGAGTCAGTGAGAAGAGCTTCAGTTAATTCGTAGGCCATGTTATGAAGGTAGTTCGTGCTAGAAATGAAGTTCATGGATTCTCTTTCATAGAAACTCTTCTGGAAACCTGCAAAATAATAGTAACAGTAATGTTTATCTAATAGTGGTGACTTGATGAGAACATGAAATGGAACGAATGAACGCTCCGAAAATACTGACGAATCAACAACAATTGGAAAGAAAATGTTAGTTGTCAGTTTTCAACGAAGTATCTTGAAAATATATCGTCTTCAAATCAAGAATAACCGTTGTTGACAGAAACAGGTCTGAACCAATTGAGTTCCTCAATCGAAATGTTTCCCTGAGAGAGGGGATTTACCGCAGCCAGTGTATCATGCTTTTTATATGCTGCTAATTTGTGTTTGTAGCGATTCTTTATGAATAGTGATATGAATCAATGTGGGATTGTTTATCAAACATTGATAGATCATGTTTATCGATAATTCCACTTGGGTATTCTCAAATCTAAGAAATCGATAGAATTTAGTATTTCTATATTCTCATGGTTGATTTTATATCTTTATGATTCGTTATCTGAGTATCTAGGTCTACCAATACGAAACTAATTGTCTCAGTACCTCCAGATGTTCTATGGCAATTCCAGAAAATGAATGACTCGTATGATTCCCCATAATCAAACCTGGTAAAGCGGAGTATGTTCATTCGCATTCGCAAATCGGTATCAATGTTTCTCATGACATATCGACAGAAGGTCCTTAATCTTATGTTTAGTCATCGGGTTTACGTGGTTTTGTCAAATTCAATCTAATCAAACACGACATAGCTGGCGATTCAATGGCCCATAGATTCAATCGATGGCATTCTGCTGGCACTATTTTTTAGTGATGGAACAGTACATGTTCAATGTTCATTAATGCTTTGTTCACATGATACGTATCTTGCACTCAAATTGTGCTGATTCAACAGTATATTCCTTATGAATTTATGTTAAAGAAGATAACACTATTTTCACGGCATTGGGTAATGAATGAGTACATTATTCCATTTTACAGAGATCACTGGGATAGTACTGGTTGGACGATGAATAGAGGGTATAGGTTCCTCAATGCCAAAAAGTCATCAATGAAATTACAGTGGAACATCAGTCTATCAGATCCATTTTATTGATGTGATGTGATGTGTCTTCATAGGTCTTCTATTTTGTTATTTTTATGCTCGTCTTCGAGAACAAATATCGTGATATAATGTAACTACTACCTCTACCAAAAATATTTCGGTCCAGAAAATATTCTACTACCACCTTGGACTTGAGTATTTGTTTCCACCTCACAATTATTATTGCAGCAGGCTAGGTGATATGCAGATGCATCTATAGGTGACTTGAGATTCTCAAATTGTTCATTCCAGATACCAAAGAAGAGGAGTTCTCGAGTTTCGACCATTTTCCAAAGCCAGAGCCCAGATCAAGTCATTCATAGAACGTTCATATAGGATATTCTTCGAGAATATCTGAATATTCTCAGAATATTATCACAGTATGATTCTAGGGATTTTTTATGAACATTTAATAATGGACTGTTCCAAATATTCTGAGACTAGTATATTGAACGAGAAGGAAGAATATTAAAAAAAAGCTTTCTCCGGTGGAGATGTGAACCTATACTATGTTGTGATTGGATTTTTACGAACCTGAAACCCTAACCCCTTTGCCTCTAACCTTATTGATAAATAAAATGAATAGCAATATGACAACACTGAATTAGTGGGATAATGTTCTGAGAACATTCTATAAGAAAATCTTGAAATAAGTATATTTGAACGTTGTCAGAATAGTCATAGAATATTCTGTGCTCTCTGAGAGATTGGAATATCAATCAACTGAAATGGAATGTGGATATATATAACTGAATACGAGAAGATTCATTGTAGTAATCATCATTATCAACATTATTATCATGAGTTAAATAATACCTTCTCCCATAACCTCAAAATTCTTTGTGTAAGAATAAACCACCCATTGGAAATGCATCGAAAATACATCTGTCAGTCATCACTGAGCCAACAATGAATGAGGGATAAAATGAAGTACTGCTTTGCCCATATTGGCGTTAAGTCGCCTATTGGGCAACGTATGTGATTTACCAATGAAAAATGCCGATATGAAGAAAGATAGTTCACTGGGGTGAAATTGCTCTGAAAATTATGACTAATGTATCAATGATTGCCGGGATCTTATTATCTGATTGATTATCGGTTTACTCACGTTTGAGGACTGGTATAGTATTTCCAATATGAATTCCAGTATAATTCCCTTGAGTTCCTGTTTCTTCGAAGGGACTGACAACGGTGACTTGATGCCCTCTGTTAGCTAGTTCTCTCATGAGGCGAGATCCTGTGACGAAATGGTTCCGTGATGGAATGGGAAATATCCCCAGAATTTTTGCGGATTGAGTTAAGTTGATAGCAGCTAAGAAAATTAGCAATAGCATCATCTTCACTGTTGTTGTTTTATCTGAGACTAGTTGACACACCTGGAGAACAAAATATTGTAAGCGACATCATGATCTCATGACTGACAATTGACACTAAGAACGTACAATCGCCACAAAATATGCCGAATCTAAGTAATCTTAGTTTGCACTTTCCACTTTGAGATTCGTGAATTCTGCAATTTTTTGATATACCTATTGGGATCGAAATAATTTTCGAAAATCAATGAGGAAGAGGATGATTGATCGTTTCTTTGGTATACCTACTCATGATTGGAGAAATACGATTATATAAAAATAATTGAACTGATCCTTTCCAGTCAGCTGCTTATATGATCTATAAGGCACAAATCCGACCTGTCCTGGAATACTACTCCCATATCTGGAGTGCAGCATCCAAACATACCCTGAAACTGTTGGATTCTGTCCAAAAAAGGGCAATTCGTCTCGTGGGTGATGCCTCGCCCACAAACTCACTCACTTCTCTGGAACACCGTAGAAAAGTTGGCGATCTTGCTTCATTATATAGATATATCAAGAACGATGCTCTTCTGAAATAACAACAATTGTTTCTCCCTTGACAGTCCAAACCAGATCAACCCGTCGAGTTAAGGCTTCGCACCCCTTCGTGGTCACTTTGAAGATCTGCAGAACATCTATTTCCAAAGACTCGTTCATCCAACGAACAGCGAGGCTCTGGAACATATTTTCAAGGGAAGTGTTTCCCGAGGCATATAACCTCCAGAAATTTAAGAAGAACACCAATTCCTACCTTATTTCCCTTGGTTCTCACGATGATCTCTGAACATTACAGTATATCCCTTTCCGTGGGAACCAGAACATAGAAAAAATGGGATGTTTTTTTTACTGAATGAAAGAGAAATTATTTCCACATAGTATCACTGTGCTCTATACCTATGTCTGCGATGGTTTTCAAGATATGATGATTTTTTCCTCGATATCGAGGAAAATTCATCAATATCCTTAAAGAAGCAAGTACACTGATAGAGTTATTGTTATCGGAAATCTGATAACCTAACGGTATCTGCAATGAATCGGGGACAGATGTGTACATTGAATACCAGAGATGTAGTGAATTTACAGGTGGCTTGTAGTTATAGCAGCATAATTATTCGATTTGAAAAATTTATATAAACATCGCAGCTAAAATAACTACCACATATTCTAGGTTCTATGATAATACAGACTGTCGAGTAAGAATTATAAAATTCTCTCATCAGATCAGCAGACTCTTAATATTACCACATTCCCTTATGAATGTTGCAGTAACTTATCCATCCTACCCTACAGTCGTGGTTATTAGACTATCCTCATCATTGGTCTCATGTTTGGCAACGTCTTGAGGTAATGCACTCATTCGTTTCATTTTATAATGGATATCTGGAGTAATATCTAACATTTTGACATGCTTTTGTTATATAGCTCATTTCCAACAGTTATTCTAATATTTCTCTGCTCTAGTATATTCATCAAACAGTATGGTTGTTTCGTAAATAATCCACATTATTCAATGGTATGCATTATCGTAGTTTATCGCATTAATTACTGCAATGAAAATAGATACGTTCAAAACTACTTGGTTCGAACCGTCTCAGCAAACAAACGGCAATTTTTTTGTGAACATTGATGGACCAGTACTGATAGGAGATAAAAAAGAGACGACCACCACGGGATTCGAACCTTGGTCCTCTGGTATGCACTTGGTTTACGAATCGAACTTATTCCACCATGTCACGATGAAAGGGTTGTTTCCACCATGTCATGACATAGCGGTAGGACTTTCACTATGACACGACATGGAGATGGTATTTCACCCATATCGATTTATGTTCGGTTTGATAGTTTGCGAGAGGTAATATTCGAGTAGGCACTAATAGTTTAGGGGTAGCTGAAAGTACGAGACTATATTCAAACATAACACTATTTATCAAAGCATGGAACATTATGAGTAGTGATGATAAATATGAATGAACAACAATGAATATAAAGACCTAATAACAACGTACATTATAATGACCATATTGACGAGTTCTTGTCAAGTCAAGAGTAGCCCCAGGCCAGACTTACTTCGATATTTCGAATATGAATTCAATATTTCTGATCATTATCACCATCATAACATATATCGCACATCACAAACAAATATATTTTATCTCAGAAAATCTCATCTTGAATTTTTTTCTATAAATCATGAGTACATTTAGCCGGCCGTTCGACCAACAAAACAGCATCAATGTTAATTTCAAACTCGGCCGTCTGAGGCGACACATATGTCATTCTTGCTGGGTAGTATAGTCACACAAAAATTCAAGTCTCTATTTAAAAACATTTCCATAACAAAATGTCATCTGATGAACGTGAGAAGTTGACGTTTTCAACAGGTCACCTTCTCAAATCATTATCATTATTTTTGTTTCAAGAAGGTTAACTTTCAGATTTGAAGTAGGACTAGATTATAGTTGAAAAATGTAATTCAAAAGATGATAAAGATTTGAATTCTGAAAGATGTTATTCCACAAATATACAAGTATCATATGAGTTGCATTCCTTCTTCATTTACCATTTTTATCATACTCGTTTACCTCAATGATTCATATCACTCACTTATGAACACTCGTCGGATCACAATCGTCAGTCCTAAACGGATTCATGATATTTGGAGACACACCGAGAAAAATCCAGTTATACAAGTCTCTATTCAAAAACTGCCTGATTGCTGGATGAAATATTTCAACCACGAAATGTCATCTGATAAATGTGAAAACTCAACATGAAACTGCTTTTCAAATCGCTCTTTTTGTTTTGAAAAGGTTACCTTATATAGATTCGAAATGAAACAAGATCATAGCTTGAAGATGGAATTCGAAAGATAATCATTTGAATCATAATTAATGTCTTTCTATAGTTATACAATGATCATTTAAGTTCCATTCCTTCTTCATTCACCATCTTTGTCCTACTCGTTTACTACAATGAGTCATACCACTCACTCATGAACACTTGTTCCATCAGAATCGTTTGTAGTCCATGGATACCTGATATGTGAGGACATATTAGCCCGCAGCAGCTCGTGAACCCTTCTTACAAGGTGTTATTTTTTTTTCTTTCGAAATAGAGAAGTGGTCGAAAGTTCTTCTAGAAATTTTAGGGGCATATCTGTTCAAATACCCCCCAAGTATTGGATTTGTTGAGGAACTACAGAAAGTTGAACTGCATCAGGGCCTTATAGTGTTTTCACGATAAATCGGTGATGTATCGGAACTTTTTCCAATTTGCATGGAATTTTGTATTTTTAAAATACCTCCCTATTCACTATATTTACCCCTTGACCCTTATTTACTGACGCCACAGTGTGAATTTTTGGCAACTATGGATATCCTATGGATGACCTCGGTACAAAAGCAGAATGTTCAATGAACTTTTTGCAAGGACGTCCATTGGTTGATTTCCCAAAGAGGTCCACTATTTATCCTTGAGGGATATAATTTTTTGGTGGGAAGTCGAGACATTTGTACTTTCCACAGACGTACTACGGATGTTCGCGGTACCAAGAACGCATGTCCTATGGACGTCCCGAGTGTCCTGACGGGACGTCCTATGGACATCCATGTAAATTCAGTGTGCTATTAGGGTTAAAATACATGGGAAATAAAAATGAAAAACTTTTTTTCTATTGTCAGAAGAGTGTTTAGCTTCTCCGAGGAGAGGTTTTTCGAAGAATTTCACACAGAATACCCACCTCAATTTTCATCACAGATTCACCCCTTGAAGTTTTTCGGTATTATTCCAAGTTCCAACATGTTATATGATCTCAGATTTCTGAAATTATGTTTTGTTTGAAAATACATTTTTCAGGTCACTATATATCCAGACAGCACAGAATATTCTATGAATATTCTGACAACGTTCAAGTATATACTTATTTCAGAATATTCTAATAGAATGTTCTCAGAATAATCGTTGAATATTCTCATTCTGAAACGAATGTTGTATGAACTGAGAATATTCTTTTTGAATTTCCGTCCGTGAAAATTCAATCACAAGATAGTGGGTTCACATCTCCACCGGAGCAAGCTTATTTTAATTTTCTCCCTTCTCCTTCAATAAACTAGGAATATTCTTAGAATATTTGAAACAGTCCATTCCGAATGTTCATAGAACGTCTGTAAAATATTTGTATCATATTGTGAGAATATTCTGAGAATATTCTATGAACGTTCTACGGATGACATTGTGCTATCTGGGTAAAGTCACCTACCACTAATTAGTCTCCGTAAATATCATTCCTATAAACATGTTCTACTCACCACTTTATATCAATACATGAACCAGACTAACCCCAGTGTTCATCGCAATTATTTTTGTTTACGTGTTTCTTGGTCTCGTCGTTTGTGGACTGAAGCCAATTCACATCAGATCACATGTCACTTGTGAAATAATTTGTACCTACCATATACCATATACATATGTACCCACCACAATAAACATTGACATTCACAATACGATAATAAGTCCTTGTGAGATGTGATACGTGAATCAGATTCTGATTTCAGCAAGGTGGTTTCAGTCAGACTGGCGCCATCTCTTGAAATATATTCAAAACTTCTATTTCTCGGAAATGGTAACTGCATTGTTCTTTGTATATATATCTGGTTCTGGTATTTTTCTGATCGTTAATGGTGAATGTTCATGGGCGTCGCCACTGCGGGGCAAGGACAATAATGTATTCAACAATTATATTTATTCATGCCTGAACATTAAACGTTCACTTTCTAATAGGAAAATTTCAATATTTGAATATTTCTCTACATTCTTATGTGTGTTGTATTTGTTTCCATGCAAAATGGATTTTCGTGACCGACTATGATTATTGAACTAGTAGCCTACTTTTCAATTCAGATAATGAAAACATTAAAAGTCGAACACATTTGCTATCGGTAGCTGTACATCTGAGAACAGATGAGTGAGTTCAGGTTATAGGCTAGATGTTGAAAAAATTCTAGTTCCTGGATGCCACTCAATTTATATGAATCCCAAAATTTGAATGAAAATGGTAATTGAAATATCAGTTATAATTGAGGATAAAATGAATATAGAAATTGGTATCCCCCTTACCTCTAGATAGCTTTCAGAGTAGAAGATAATATTCCAGAATGGATAATAGAGTACAAAATAAATCAATAAAAGTGGAACAGATTTTCCCATATGGTGAAATGTAATTGAAGAAGGACAGATGGAAAAACTGGTCTATTATGAACGGCGCCGAGGGCGGAACTAATATCTGAAAGGGTACCACAATTCAATGTTGATAGAAAAGTGAGCGAGAGAACTAATGTTTCTGACATTCTGACACTGAAACATTGTCAAGAATCACAAAGCCAACTTAATTTCATCTTCGTAGCCTGAATTGATGATATCTCATAGTTTGGAACTACACTCAGATTTCAATAGTATGATTTTTATTTCAACATTGCACCCTGACATAATTCTAGTCTCACCATGACGATATCAACGAATATATCTTATTGTATGAGCATTCCTTTTTTATATCTCGAAACTTGACGCAGTTAGTTCATTCTTTATGTCAAATAAACCAGAAGAAAGAATCACACGAGCTTCAGCAAAACCTGATAATCTGAAAATTATCATAGAAAACGAAACATTAACGCCAGCTGGTAGTAGTACTGGCATTTTTGACGAACTAGATCCAGATTCTTAAAAAAATCGAAATTATCTTACTGAAACAAAAGCAGTCGCTGATATAATATTAGTTTCCCCTCCAATCTAATTACTTTCTCAAATAAAAATAAAATATCGTAACATATCATATCATCATAGTCTTTTTCAAACTGCAGAAGAACATTTAGAGAAATCAAGGCAGGTATTCGTGAGACTTTCAGATGCAAATTTCACCCTGAAACCAAGTAAATGTTAATATGCTGAATCTGAACCGAAACCAAAATATGTCAATAATGTACAAAGTTTTGTAGGACTATGTAATTACTACACAAAATTCATTCAGAATGTTTCTATCAGCGCAAGACCATTATATAAAGCGGTGAAACAAAACAAAAATTCCATCTGGGGAAATACACATTCGAAATTTTGAAAACCAAACTCGTAAACGCACCAGTTCTAAATCATTTTTACCCAAATAAAGGAACGGAGTTGATGGTGGGCAATTCAAAAGTTGGAATTGGAGCGATTTTATTACAAGAAGGTAATGATAACCAATTACATCCCGTCGCATACGCTAGTCGAAGTCTGACTAAGGCAGAAAAAAAGTCCAGCATACTCGAGATTGGGGGTTTAGCAGCAATTCGGGCTCTGGAATATCTTCCAAATCAAATATACGGTCAACCTATCAAAATTATTGTAATCGACCACCACAGTTTATGTTGGAATTAAAGTTCGAAAAACCCTACAGGGTGACTCGTTAGGTGGTCAGTAAAATTATCCGAATTTGTCTTTAAAGTGGTACATATAAAAGTGGTGTGGCACTTGAAAACGCGGATTTCTCATCACGACATCCAGTTCTGAAACCTGAACAGGAAACTTGATCCGGGAGAAATTCTGACATTCTTGCTGCAACCAGATGATATCGCAAAGGAACTAGATTTAGACGATGAACTGAGTTGGTCACAGCATTAAAAGATCCCATCAATCCAGACATAAATATCGGAACCAGAAAACCTGCAGAAAATGTAGGGTAATCGATGACGTCCCGTATAAAGCAAATCCGTCAATAAAAGGCAGGCCTAATTTGTTAGTAATACCAAAACATTTGGTCAATGAGATCTTGTATAGTCATCATTTAGAGCACTTATGAGACATCTGGGAATCACGAAAACGTTTCATAAAATGAAAGATCGGTACTATTAGACCATTCTACAGAGAGACGTAGGAAGGTATGAAAAGGGCTGCAAAGAGTGTCACGGAAAAGGTACCTTCAGTATTAACCAGGGGTCAATGTTATTGAATTGACCTGGAATCAATGAGGAGCCAAGGGAGTGTAGGCTGTAATAACAATCCTGGATTTAGCCTGGAATACTGGTTGCTATTTTCATACTGGATAATTACAGGAATCAAAGCTATCTTTGTCGAAAACGGGTTGCTTTCATGCATTCCGCTGGCTAAATTTCAGATTGTTCCTAAGGCTTTGGAAGTAATATCTGAAGCATTTTGGAAACCATGACCAATCACTATAACATATTAGGCAAATTTGCCACTAATAATCAATGATAAAAATAAAACTAACCCTGAATGTGTAATGTCGTGGGAGTGAAGCGAAATACCTTGGAAGAGTAGCAATTTGGAAAAAACGATGGAAAATACATTAAAAATTGAAATTTTGAACCATCCATGTCTTCACCTTTGTTTTTTCCCAATAGAATAGATTGAGATGATAGGAAATGAATGGCAGTATCTACATTGAGTTGAGGAACATACCTTGGAAGGGTAAAAATTTTGAGAAAACGATTAAAAATACCTCAAAAAATTGAACTTCAAACCAATCGATTCTTCACCTCATTTTTCCCACAGAGAAAAACGTTGAGGTGATAAAACTAGAATAGCAAAATACAGACTGTCTTCCATATCATGGGAATGAATCAACATACCTTGGAAGAGTAGCAATTTGGAAAAGAAGATTGAAAATTACTCAGAAAATGAAATATTTAATCGATCGTTTCTTCAATTCAATTTCCCCACAGCAAAATGGGTTGAGATGATTGAGAGAGAATGGCAGTATACACACTGATATACATATCGTGGGAGTGGAGCAACATACCTTGGAAGAGTAGCAATTTGGAAAAAAACGATTGAAAATACCTCAAAAAATTTAATTTCAAACCAACCATGTCTTCCATTCGGTTTCCTCTCAATGTAATAGGTTGGGATGATAGAAAGAGAATGACAGAAAACACATTGACTCACATATCGTGAGAGTTAAACAAAATACCTTGAAAGAGTAGCGATTTGGGAAAACGATTGAAAATTCCTCAAGAGAATAAATTTTAAACCATGGGATTCTCCACCTCATTTTTCCCACGAGAAAATATGTTGAGGTGATTGAAAATGAATTGCAGTGAACACACTGACTCACATATCGTGGAAGTGGAGCAACATACCTTGAAAGAGTAGCAATTTGTAAGTATAACGATTTAATATATCTCAAAAAATAAAATTTCAAACCACCTAACACTTCATCTTGGTTTTCTCACAAAAGAATAGGTTCAGCATAATAAAAAGTTATAGATATACACATTCACTTACATATCGTGGGACTGAAGCAACAGACTTTGGAAAAGTAGAAATTTGGAAAAATCTATCAGAAATACCACAAAAAATGAAATTTTCAACCAATCATGTTTGGTTTCCTCAAAATGAGATAGGTTGAGATGATGAGAAGAGAATGGTAGTATACACTTTGACTCATATATCGTGAAAGTGAAGCAACATACGAGAAGCAATTTGAAGAAAAAAACGATTCAAAATACCCCGAAAAGAGAAATTCTCAACCAATCGATCCTTCACCTCAATTTTCTCACTGAGAAACAGGTTAAGGTGAAAGAAGAGGAATGGCATTATACACACTGACTAACATATATAACATACAAAAATACTTATTATAAATGGTAAAAGAGTATTTACTACAATTTGCAATATTAATTCCAATGGATTCTAGAGTTTTTACATCAGTAATTCATGATTTTCGGTAAACTTGTAATCCTCTGTTTGGTTTTTGGCACCAAAAATTGCTTCTGATATTTTTTTCTTTTGCCCTCTCGAATTTTTTATGTAACCTTCAGCAACAGTATTGCTTTTCAATCCGCCATGGCATTTCACGGTACACAGATCAGCTCCAGAATCAGTCAAAAATGAAGCAGACGATCGCCGAAAACAATATATATATATATATATATATTCTTCAGGATGAGGTAAATTTTCACATATTGTCTGATAAGTTCTACCATATCCAATCCTGGGATATTTTCCGAAGTTACAAATAATTCCCGCATTATATTATAATACTAACTCCTTTAAAAATAGTTCTCATTGTGACATGTCAAATAGAAATTTTCATTTTTTCGATAACGTATTAATATGAATGCCATCAGATGAAATTTTGTATGTATTACGAATCATAAACAATCATTATGGCACACGTCGTCTTTATGATCCTTGTTACATAAATAACTATCATATACCAAGGACGAAACAATGTCTATTATAGTCGAGTCTGCGAATTGATAGCCGAGGCCTCAGCCGAGGCTAGCAATCAGGCGAGAGAATATAGGAAGTTTTTGCCGAGGTGCATATTTCATTTTTTCGTCGACTGCAAACACTTATATCCACATTACGGTCCTATTCACACGTGGAATCTATCGGATTTTGTGAATAATCAATTTGACAACAGCAAATGACAGTTGTTGTTAACTCACTCTCCGCGCGGACCAGGGTTACCAGTTCGATTTTCATATCATCAGTCAATACCTTGTCAAAAATTCAGATCTATTATATGCTATGCGAATTCC